CTGTTCTGTTATGTAATATATGCACTAAAATACATCTGTGTCCTTTGAGTGTGCATGATCACAACTTTTTACTAATGGGCTTCATGGTCAAAAACATTTGAAGACCATTGGCTGTTGGCTCCTGACAGCTGGGGTGACCCAGAAACTAAGCAGGACTGGACCCCGACAGGGACTGGACACTGAAGGCCTTCCCCAGGCCACCTACCAAAGACCCGTAGGTCGCGGCCTTGGCGATCGGATCCAGCAGAGTTGGATACCAGGCAGAGGTAGTGGCCGGCGTCCTGGGCAAGGACTGGCTGAATTTTCAGGGAACCCTCAGGCAGAACTTCGAACCTGGAATGGACAGGGGGTTGCCGTGGAGATGGGCAGGCCAGTGGGCCTGGAGCAGAGCTGTCCCCAGCAAGACCCTTCCCTCCGCCCCCCCTTTCCCAGTGAGAGGATGCTGATATGGTTTGGCTCTGTGTCCCCACCCAAATCTCATCTTGTAGCTCCCATAATTGCCACGTGTTGTGGGAGGGACCTGGTGGGAGATGATTGAATCAGAGAGGCAGGTCTTTCCCATGCTGTTCTCATGACAGTAAATCAGTCTCATGAGATCTGATGGTTTTAAAAACGTAAATTTCTCTACACAAGCTCTCTCTTTGTCTGCGGCCATCCACGTAACATGTGACTCGTGCCTCCTTTCCTTCCACCATGATTGTGAGGCCTCCCCAGCGGTGTGGAACTGTAAGTCCGATAAACCTCTTTCTTTTGTAAATTGCGCAGTTTCAGGTATGTCTTTATCAGCAACGTGAAAATGGACTAACACAGATGCTAACTTTGGAGGTCAGAGTCTTGCATCTATGAGGCCAAGGTCAGGGGGTCAGAGCCATGAGCAGCTCCCCACAGCCCAAGCCAACATTGGAAAGATGGAGAGAAGGGCTGCTTTGGGCCTCCCTGACACCCTCCTGGGCCTGGCCTCTCCTGAGATGCAGAAGGAGCAGCACCCTGCTCTTCTGGAGAGCAGCCCTAAGATCTGAAAAGTGCTCTTCCCAAGGGCCATGTCTGTACCGTGCAATCCCGCCCCTGGCCACAGTTGATTGGATGGGGGATGGACATATCACTCAGGCTGGGCCAATGGCATTCTGTGCCCTGGGAATTTAGAGTGGGGATTCACAGACAGCTTCCTAGTGAGCTGAGGAGCTGTAAACCTGGGTGAGGCTGGGGGCTATGGGGTTGTCAGGGCGTGTGTTTCTCCCACGTTCACCAAGGAAGAAGGCAAGAGAGAGAAAGATGAAGCCCACACAGAGAGAAGCTGAGAGAAGCTTTAAAACCATCAGATCTCGTGAGACCCACTCACGCCCCTCTACCCCGCCCCATCTATCAAGGCTTCTGATCAAGTCAAACAAGCAAGAGACCTTCATGAGTGGTGGGCCTGTCCTTGTGTTCTGAGACGCCCCACGTCCTGATGATAAAGTCACTTTTCTGCTCCAATTGCCCAAGTGGGTTTGGTTTGCAACCCACAAAGTGGCACCTGAGAGCCTCCCCAAGGCCCACCCCTTCCCTCTCCCACCTGGGGCTCCTGGGATCCAGGGGTACCCCGTCCTTCCGCCAGCTCACGAGGGGTGTGGGCACACCGTCGGCCTGGCAGGGCAGCAGGGCTGTCTGGTTCACTGAGACGTTCACTGCAGGTGGTCCCGACCGGATGGTGGGCACCGCTAGGGAGAGGCACAGAAGGAGTGGTGCTGGGAGCTGTGGCTCTAAGGGGGTGGGCAGGGTGGGGTGGGGCAGGCCCTACTCACTGTGGATCTCCACGCGGAAGGCCACGCTGGTGCTGCCTGCAGCGTTGCGGGCTGTGCAGCTGTAGTCGCCGCTGTCAGCCGTGCTCAAGGCCTGCAGCTGGAGGAACCTGCCCCGCTCTGGGAACTGTGTGTGGGCGTCCTCCTGGAGATCCCCGCCAGGGTGGAGAGACCCTTATCAGTGCCCAACTGCTCCCGGCCAGCCCCCAGCACCAGACGTGGAGGACTGAGGAACTGGTGACGCTGGACAGTGGCTCTGTCCTTCCAGCCTGACCGCAGGCCCTGACTGTGACCCGCTGAGGACCCTCTAAGGAAATGCACTCCTCTGGGAGGAAATGCATCCCCTGTCCCTGGAATTCCTGTCAGAACACCCACAACCCTGAATCCACAGACGCAAACTGACCCCATTTGAGGGGTGGGCACAGAGAACCTTGGTCACCAGCCCAGGCCACACAGCCGCTAAGCATAGCTTCAAGGAACCAGGGGGAGGACACTGGGTGGGCCTCGGAAGCCCTGAGTGACCTGAACCTTGCCTCAGTGTCCCCATCCATAAAATGGGAGTGACAATGACAATGGCGGGTACGACACCCGGGCAACAGGGTGCAAAGTACAGCTCAGAGCAGGCCCTTGGCACCCGCTCTGGATCTTGGATCCGGCCAGGTCAGGTCTGGGGCCTGAGAGGGACAGAAGGCAGCACCCTGGGGCCCCACCTGGCGCCCACCTGCAGCACGATGCCATCTCGGTGCCATGTGATCTCGGGTGCTGGCTCTGCCTCCACTGAACACTCCAGGACCAGCTGCCCCGGGGCCAGGCCGACCACAAAGCGGGGGCCTCGGGGCCCAACAATGTTTGGAGGGGCTGGGAAGCAGGTGGCACAAGAGGACGTGAGAGGTGGACTCACCCCTGCCACGAGCCCGTCCTGCCTCCCGGCCCTGCCCCCACCCCACCCCCACCACCTACCTTGAACCCTGACCCGGAAGCTCTTCTCGACTGCACCTGCAGGGTTTTCAGCCAGGCAAGTGTACAGCCCGGCATCCCCAACCTGGAGATGGAGCGGGTTGAGCAGCTGCCCCTGGCCCCTGTCTGCCTGCCTCCCGATCTGGTTTCTTTCTTATGCCACAAGGGACCCAGAATTCAAACTCAGCCCTGTGAGGTCTGCCATCCACCTTCCCAGCCAACCCATGCCCTCTCCCTCCATCTCACTGTTGCTTTAGGGCTGGTGCGATGCCTGCCTCTTCCCAGAAGTCCCCCTTAACTGCACCAGCCCTCCTCTGGCCTAGATGGGGTCACTTGGTTTTGGCATCAGCCTGGGCCCTGACCCTGCTGGGAGCTCCCAAGGGCACGGCTTAGGTGGGTCACCTCCACACCGTCGTACCCCACACAGAGGAGGAGCTTCAGCCAAACCTTGTCAACTGCCCACTGGGTCTGGGGAACATGCAGTCCCTCCCCTCTCCCTCAACCCCCAGCCTCACCCCCTGGCGGCAGCACCGGTACCTGCACACTCTCCACCCGGAGCACCCCTGTGGCTCTGCTGCTGTTCTCCAGCCTGGTCAGAGCCTGCCCGTCCTTATGCCAGGTGATGTTGGGCTGGGGGGTGCCCTGGGCCTCACAGAGGAGCTCCATGGGGGCACCGGGGGTCAGCGACAGCTCTGTAGGCTGGCCCGAGTCCTCAATGTGAGGGGGCTCTGCAAGCCACCATGGAGGGGAACACACAATTGACACGTTTCCAGGATGATACCGCACTTGAAAACGCGTGCTGAGTCCGGGGGCTCTGCTCCCACATTTTGGTGGCTCTCGTTCTTGCATCTGCCACCAAGGTTTGGTGGAAAGAACCCAGGAGCACAGCCGTGGGAGAATGAAAGCCCGGCCACCCACTCCCCGCAGGCAAGGCAGGCGAGAGGCATCCCAGCCGGAACCAAGCTCCCCAGGTGGCAGCCCCAGGCCTCCAGGGGACTCACCTCCCTCACTGCCCTTCCCATTGCCTCCAGAGTCCCACCCTCTCCCCTGAGCCCAGAGAAGCTGGCCAGAGGCCAGAGGACCCACCCACGACGGTCAGCTGGAAATGCCTCCTGGCTTCCCCGGCCTCGCTCACGGCCACACAGGAGTAGGTCCCCGAGTCACCAGCTCCCACTGTCTCCAGCTGCAGGCTGGGTCCCTGCTCAAGGCTCTGGGACAACAAGGGCTCCCCGTCCTTCATCCACGACACGAGAGGCAGGGGAACGCCCCGGGCCTCGCACGGGAGTTCCACTGCGGAGCCACGAACCACCATCACCTCATTCTGGAACTCCACCGGCTCCAGGACAGGGGGCACTGTGGAGGGCAGAAAGGTGGGCAGGAGCCATTTTATTCCAGGACTCAACTTAGACATCACCTCCGAAGCCGCCCTGGTCCCCCAAGGCCAGGTGGGGTGCCCTCCTCTGTGCTCCCACAGCATCCTCTCCGTCTCCCAGTGTCACTAGTTCCCTGGAATTGTGATTGTCTATTTACAGAGCTGCTTCCTGCACTGGCCTCTCTGCCCCCGCCTATCCTGGGCATATCAGAGTGCCCATGGCTACTTGTGAGGTGCGAACGGGCAATCCAGTGCGTCAGAGACTGAGCCGCAGTGTCCACTCTCCTTGATGCCCCCAGGGCCCATCCTTGGTTCCACCCAGATGGGCAGGGGGGCCAAAGGCCTTGCTTCTCACCCACCAAGGCCAGAGACCCCCTTGCCCCACCCCCTGCTCCATACCCTGCACCTGCAAGGTGAAGTTCCTGTCCGCCACGCCAGCTGGGCTTGCGGCCACGCAGGTGAAGATGCCGGCATCTGCCAATTGCACCTGGGAAATCCTGAATCTCCCGAGAGGAGAGGGAGAAGGAGAGAAGAGAAAGGGAGAGAGGGAGAGATAGGAAGAGAGAGGGAGAGAGACAGGAGAGGCTGGCTGTGTGGAAAGATTTCCTCCCTTTCCCATCCTTCGTCTCCCAAGAACTTGCTGGCCAGAGCGGGCAGAGTAACTGAGCCCAGCCTTTGCTTAAACCCTTTTTTTTTTTTTTTTTTTGAGATGGTGTCTCGCTGTGTCGCCCAGGCTGGACTGCAGTGGCACGATCTTGGCTCACTGCAAGCTCCGCCTCCTGGGTTCACGCCATTCTCCTGCCTCAGCCTCCCAAGTAGCTGGGACTCCTAGGCGCCCGCCACCACACCCGGCTAATTTTTTGTATTTTTAGTAGAGACGGGGTTTCACCGAGTTAGCCAGGATGGTCTTGATCTCCTGACCTCCTGATCTGCCCGCCTTAGCCTCCGAAAGTGCTGGGATTACAGGCGTGAGCCACCGCGCCCGGCCTGCTTACATTCTTTACCCGGGTTCCTGGTGCCCCCAGGATAAAGCCTCCAGCTGCCTCCACCCCTGCTGCCTGCTGCAACCCATCTCCTTCTGAAGCCAGACCTCCTGCCTCCCAAATTCGGGGAGCTCCGCGTCCCACATGGACAGCTCGGCTCCTCTTCCTCTACGCAGCCCTCTTTGCCCTCAGAGTTCACTGGAGTCATCTCAGCTCACTGGCTTCACTGTCTGTCCTCCCACTTTCTCTCAACCCCTTTCACCTCAACCACCCCTCCGCAGCTGCTCTTGCCCAGTCCCCAGGGACAGCCATAGCACCAAAGCCAACAGTCTGTCCTTAGGCCTCGTCTCCGGTGACCCAGTTGGTCTCTCCTTCCCTGAAACCTGACTTCTGCATCTCCTCCTATCCTGACCACCTCCCCTTCCCTAGGTCCCTGAGACCCATCCTCACATTAGCAGCGGGGGCGCAGTCCACACTCACTCTGGGATGGGGGGTGGGTTTTGCTGCCAGTCCTGGTTTCCAGCACCTCCCATAGGCTGTCAATCCCCACATGTTCACTCTGAGTGGAACAGCCAACGCCTGTGTGCCATCTCCCCTACCTGAGGGTGCGGCCAGAGCCGTGGAGGAGGGTGCGCTGGGAGAGCGGGAGGGGCAGGCCGTCCTTGAGCCAGCTCACATGGATGGGCGGGGAGCCCCGTACGGGGCATGCCATGGTCACCAGCTCCCCAGGCCTGCTCACCAGGGCCCCCGAGCCATCTGCTCCCTGCTCAATGGTGGGAGGAACTGGGGGTGGGTAGAAAAAAGAGGGGTAATGAGGAGGTCTTGGGAGGAAAGTGGGCTCCTCCCAGGGAAATTCTGGAAGTGGAGACCTGGACTTGGGCCGCCAGCAACCACAGTGGTCTCCGCCCCTCATGAGGGACGAGGCCCACTGCGTGGGGGGCACAGCCACTCCCTGACTCTCTTCTCACCTCCCGAATCTCCACTGTACCCTGGGCTGGCATTATTGTCCTCTAGTTTGAGGATGGGGCACGGAGGCCCAGGGAAGTGAGACCTGTGGCCCAGGTCACAGTATGGGCTTTGCTCACATGTCACCTTATCTCCCGCGCCCAGGCCCACGCATCACCCTCCAGATGCCCCCGGGCTCCTCACCCAGCACGTTCACCGTGTGCAGCCTGGCGTCCTCCCCGGCTGGGTTGTGGGCCACGCAGGTGTAGGCACCCGCGTCCGAGGCCCTCAGGCCTTTTAGCACCAGGGAGCCACCATCCAGGTAGAACCTGCCACAGGGAGGGAGGGCCGACGGCAGGGGCATCAGGTGAAGTGGGCTCTGCCGCCTCTGGGGAGGGCATGGGCCAAGTCTTACCGGAGGTGGGGGCCCATGTCCTGGCCCAGCGGGCTGCCGTCCTTCAGCCAGGCCACGTCCGGCAGTGGCTGCCCATCGGCCTCACAGTCCAGCCGCACCTCCTGCCCTTCCAAGATGTGGTGCTCCTGCGCGGTGCCCGAGCTCCGGATCCGGGGGGCCACTGAGGCAGGGGTGCAGTGAGGCCCTGGGTGACGGCAGGGGCTGCCATGGGAGTGGGACAGGAGGGTGCAGGGCGCAGACCTACCCAGCACTGCGACCACGAAGTCCTTGCGGGCCTCGGCCTGGGTGTTCTCAGCCACACATGTGTAGGTGCCTGCCTGGGTCGGTTGCAGGCGGCTCAGTTGGAGGCGTCCCCCCCGGGAGACCACACCGTGCACCACGCTGCTCTCTGTGGGACAGAGGGGGACCCCTGAATCCCCCAGCCCCTTCTTGTGCTCCTAGAAAACTGAACCCCACAGAGGCAGAGGCTCCTTCTTATATGTCCCCACCTTCCCCAGCCCAGTCTCTGTTCCTTAGAATCCTCCCTCATTTCCTTCCACTTGAGACAGCTCTTCCCAAGAGACCCTCTCCCTTCAGCATCCAGGATTTGCTCTCGGGCCCAGCTCTCACCTCCCATCCTCTCCCTCCCCGCCCTGACCCTCTACCCCATCTATCAAGGTTTCTGCTCAAGTCAAACCAGCCCCTCACTGACCCCACACAGGTCACCCTGGGGCCTGCCCCTGGGCCTCTGCTCGGGCTCCTCCCACTCCCGGCCTTCAGGCCTCCCCCTTCACTCTCTCCAGCCATACCCCTGCCCAAAGCCATCCCTAACTGCCCCAGCCCAGGCCCATCTCCCCGCCCAGATCCTCATGGGTCCAGCCAGCCTCTCAACACAAAAACACGAGCAACTGCCCTGTGCCTAGCATGGAGCTTGGGAATCAAAGATGAGGGCAGCTCAGTCACTGTCCTCAAAGAGTTCACAACATATCGGGGCGGGGGCCATGAAACAAGGGGACCCAGTGCGGACAAGCCCCGTGAGCCCCTGATGGAGCGGGGGAACCTGGGGCACAGGAAGGGTCGGGAGGGCTCCCGGAGGTGGTGAGTCTCCGCTGAGACGTGAATGTTGAGCAGGAATCAGCCAGTGGGGAGCGGAGGTGACCACGGGAGCCTGGGTGGGTATTCCAGGCAGGGAACACAGGTGCCAAGAGCTGGACATGAGAGGGGGCGGGGCCTGTAGCCACCTGACCCGAGAGAGGC